TTTATGAACTAAAGAATGGGAGTCACATTTTTTTCTATTTAAAAGAAATCTCATGTAGCTAACATTTTTGAGATAATATTTCTGCAAGAAAATTGGCATATGTTTTTTTCAGTTTTAATGAACTAAATTTGGATTTTTAGGGGACAAGTAACAAAATGTTGCCTCTATTCGATAGTTACAAAATACATTTTAAGGAATCACCATGGTATTGGTGATTTTGCAAGACAAGAAGAGAGGAAGGGAGAGGGAAAGAGAGATAGAAACATCAAGGATGAGAGAGAATCATTGATCAGCTGCCTGCCCTGACCAGGAATCAAACCATGATCTCCAGGTTCATAGGTCGATACTCAACCGCTGAGCCACACTGGGTGGGCAGAAGAGAACATTCTTAATGAAAACACTTTGAATCGAACAAAAGTAAATATATTAATGTTGTTTAAACTTCTAACATTTCCAAAAAAGATATTTTAAATACCAAGAAAAATCATTTGTATAAAAGATCCATTTGGTTTTCAAAATCCTAAATCCACATATAAATTAAAGTTGATGCCCAAAGAAGAAAACCAATTACGAATGTTTTGTTATTAAAATACATTGAAGAGTGATAATAAACATATCACCATTTTAGATTAAGATTTTAAAAGAATTTGCTAAAATTTGCAATTTCAGTTACTAAGTATATTGTTATTAATAGCATCCACAGCAATTTACTTGTGTGAACCAGGTTTTCTTTTGTGTTTTTTTAACCAACGTAACTAAAACACAGTGGGAAGAAATCAACATCAGCACCACGCACTTGGGCTGTGCATGTAGCAATGTCCTCCTGTCTCCAGCCTGGGATAAATTTAGACAAATGTGCCTGAAATCATGAATAAAATCATATTTAATAGTAACTCTATCATATTTAACAGTACATGTTATTTTATAAATAAAACTTTTGTTTGTTTTTAATCTATTTATACATTATCTATGTGTATACTGGGTGGTGATAAAAAAGGGTATGTTCTGTGAGTTGACCTTTACAAAAAAAGTGTTTTAATGTTTCCCTCCTGTTTCTCCATAGCCAGCATCTGCAGTGGGCTGTTTATAAATGTGTTTCTACCTGCGCTCAGTCCTCTGCAACCAGGCTCTCTGACCTCATTATTATTCTGGGGCAGGCTTCCAAACTCAAGTCTCACATCCATTAGAGTCTTTTCTGTGTTTATCTTTGTCCGTTCTGTTGCCATTGACCTTGTTGCCGGATTATTTTAATTTCATTTTTATGCCACCTAAAAAAAAAAAACCCAACACTTTGCAATTATAAAAGTAAACATGTTTAAGGGAAAAATAAACTCACCGATAACACCACCACAGAGAAACACTATTAACATTTTATGTTTGTTTTCCAGTAATATATATGCATGTATATTTAAAGTTACGTGTACATCGACATCAAATATTTAGATAATAAAATTGAAATCATTTAGTACATGGCATTTTACAATCTTAGCTATATAGAAACCACTTTTCATGTTATTCAAAATTCCTCTGCTGTATTATTTCTTTTTGTCAAGTTTATTTTTACATTCAATATTGTTTTGTGTTAGTTTCATAGACCTATTCTTCAGGGCTATGTAGCATGCTGCTTTATGGATACATACATCATAGGTTATTTTTCTATTTCCCTGTTGTTGGACATTTACTTAAATAGTTTTCAATTTTTAGGAATAATTGAATAACATTAAAATCCTTGTAGAAAATCTTTACCCACTTCCATAATCACTTGCTTAGGATGAATTCCTAGACGTGAGATTGCTGGGTCAGAGCCATATCTCTGCTGCAGACACATTCAGAATCCCTCCAGGAATGTGGTACCCAGTCACCCTTCCACCAGCACCCGTGACATGGGAGGACCTAATTGACCAGCTCCTTAGTAACTAGCAATGCCATTTAAAATCACTTAGCCAATTTCATTGATTTTTTAAAAATCTTATTTTATTTAAAAATTTGTGCTTTTTTTCTTCCTCTGTGAGCTGACTTCATATTCATTACTTCTTTTTTTTAGGATGTGTATCTGTTTTCTAATACTTTGTAAAAACTCTTCTTATTATAAAGTTATTCAAAGTTTATATCTCTAAAATGGTTATTTTTTCTAGTTTGTATCTTAAGCAAATTTGTTTTAATTATAAAGATAACAAATATAAATAAAAAGTAAAAAATAGCAATATACACAAAATTAAAATGTGACTTACTCTTTCCTCCTTCAGTCTACCCACCAGAGTATCATTTGTTTTTTAATTTTGAATGGAACTTCTGATATACATACAGGTTCTACATATATTAAAATAATCAAATCTATTTATCTTTCTTTCTTTTTTTCAGTTTCTCCTTAGCTGGTTGTTAGAAATAATCTTGTTGCAGTAAGATATTAATAAGTATATTTATTTACATTTTCTTTTAAAACCTTTTATGGTGCAGTTATTAAACTTAACTTTTTAACACATTTGTAATTTATTTTCTATATCACATAAAGTTTTGACCTATATTTTTCCCAAATAATTAAGAATGTAGTCTAACTTAATTATATCATTGACTATAATGTTAATAGTAATACTTTTTTTCAGCACTGAAAACCTTTCTCTAAGGCTGGCTTCATGGGATGCGGATGGTGAGTTGCAGAGTCCTTGGGGGCTGGGACTTTGCAAGTTTGCTTGTTAGTACCCAGGTCCCAGGAGGGCTGAAGAAGTATGAACTGGACCCCATCTGCTGGACCCCTTCTGGGACACTTCCTTTCCTGGCTGCCTTTCCACAGCTGGGGCCTCTGATTGCTCCTTCTCAGCCTCCTCTTCAGGCACTTGGCCTCTGCCCACCACTTGAGGGTAAGTGATCCCCAGCTTCCTCCCTGCCATCCTGCTTCTCCCATTCCATCCCCTGCCTCTCAGAAACCTTTGCTAAACACTAGGCATCAACAATTCTCAATACTTGATGCTTTCAAATCCTCATTTCTATCACAGAGCCCTGATCTGAGTTCCTGCTGATAAGGAAAACACCCCACGGCTATCTCGTTATCATTTCAACCCGAAGATGCTCAAACTGAACTCATAAAATCCCAGATCCCAAACCCTTCTCTCCCTCTCTTCTTTACCTTGGAGGACAGACCACCATCCTCCCGTTTCCCCAAACAAGAAAATCAGAAGTCATCCCATAAGCTATCACAACAGTCAGCAAATCCTGCTGCTTCTGCTCCCTACATATCTGTTATTTGTCCCTCTTTTCCTTTCCACCCACCATTGGCTTAACTGATTTCTAGGTTACTGCAGTATCTTCTGTTCTCCCAGCGGCCAGTCTACCTTCTCTGCAGTTTATCCTCCTCACTCACCACTGCAGCTACACTTCCAAAGAAAACACGTTATACTTCAAATCCTCTTACCTCCCAATCACAGATTTCACAACAGGGACTGGGGGTCAGGAGAGGGGTGGTGGTGGTGGTGGGGAGATGAGGTTTCCAAATGATTTCTGCTTTCCTCTCCATTTTCTCCAACAACCATCCCATCCCAGGGCCTCCATCAGTGAGTGACTTGATGACTGAAGCACGGGGCACTCTCTCCATATCTGAGTCCCTGGCTCACTCTGCCTCCTCCTGTGGGCACCCAGGTCGTCTCCCAAGTTCTGCCTTAGGCTCTTCTTCACTGGAGAAGCTGTCCCTGTGCGCTCCCAGCACCCTCATCCCAGTCAGATAGCCCTTTGCTGCTGCTTGGGCCCTAGGGCGCCCCTTTCCTTCCCACTCCCCCCCCTCCCCCCCTCCCGCTTCCAGAGGAAAACAATTCAGCACAAGAAAGGAAGGGAAAGGGAGGGAAGGAATATTTCTTGGATTTAATAATATGTTTTGAGACCACCTCTTGTTATTTGTTATTTGGGAAGTCAGTGTCTCTGGGCTAGGTTGCCTCGTGTGTGTACGAGAGAGAGAGAGAGAGAGAGAGAGAGAGAGAGAGAGAGAGAGAGAGAGAGAGAGAGAGAGAGGAGGGGGGAGAGAGAGGAGAAAGAGAAAGAGAGGGAGGGGGAAGAGAGAGAGAGAGGAGAAAGAGAAAGAAAGGGAAGGGGGAAGAAGAAAGAGGGAAAGGGAGAGGGAGAGGGAGAGGGGAAGAGAGAGGGAGAGGGAGAGGGAGAGGGAGAGGGAGAGGGAGAGGGAGAGGGAGCGGGAGCGGGAGAGGGGGAGGGAGGGAGGGAGAGGGAGAGGGAGAGGGAGAGGGAGGGGGAGAGAGAGAGAGAGAGAGAGAGAGAGAGAGAGAGAGAGAGAGAGAGAGAGAGAGAGAGAGAGAGAGAGAGGTGGAGGAAGAGAGAGGGGGAGAGGGAGAGAGAAAAAGAGAGAGAGAAGTTGGCATACACGCTGGACAGAGTAACCCTAATCTAATCACAGGTAGCGCCTGGGCCGGGCACCCAGAGTGGTGCAGAGTGGACCTAGAGAGCTGATCATTGAAAGGTGAAAGCATGGGCCAGGGGATGCAGCTGGGGGCGCCACATCCCGCAGGGGACCCCGCGCCCCGGGCTTGGCAGCCCCCACCCCGCGCAGGGGGCGGCGCGGGGGAGGACCGCGGGGAGGATCGCGGAGAGGCCCCTCCCGCCGCCTCCGCGCCGCCGATCAGACGCTCCCGGGGGCCGAGCTGTCAACGCCCGGCAGCGCGCCAGCGCAGGACGTCCGCCTCCACCGCTCCTGGAGCCTCCTGCCCAGCTCCCCTTGGTGGCGGGGCTCCCCTAGGTGGCGGGGCCCAGGGAGCGTCATCCGCCTGGAGCCCGACCCCCCGGTGCCGTGGCCCCGCTCAGAGCGCACCTGACCCGGCGGGCGGGCGGGCGGGCGGCGGGGCTGACGTGGCCGCGCGCGGAGCGGCCGTGATTCTCCAGCCGCCGCGGGGCCGGGGCTGGGAGCGGGGCCGCGGGGCGCGCAGGGCCAGGCAGCGGCGGCGGCGTCCCCGACCGGCCTCCTCGCGCTCCTTCTCGGCGGCAGGGCCCCGGAGGAGGTCAAGATGGAAGAGATCCTGAGGAAGCTGCAGAAGGAAGCGTCCGGGAGCAAGTACAAAGCCATCAGAGAGAGCTGCACCTGGGCCCTGGGTGAGCGCGCGGGGCGGGATGCGGGGCACCTGCGGGGCTGGGGCCGGGGCTGGGGCCGGGGCCGGGGCTGAAATCCTTTCACCGAGCCTTTCTTTTGCATGCATTTCGCGCAATTGGGAGAGTTGCCTCGGTGCATTGAGGTACGATGGGAGGATCTTGGTTTTCGGGTGTTGACATCCGTTCGTCTCCCTTCTGGTCTGTTTATCTTCTCCTAAACATTCACGGGGATCCGCTGCCCTCCACGCCCAGATCCCCGGCACAGGGGAGCGTGGTCACCCATCCCCGAGGGAGACAGGACCACAAAGGCTGGGGTGAATCTAGGGGCCTGATTCCCAAGCGCCTGCGGGAAAGAGGGAAGTTGGACCATCAACCCGGATCTCGAAACATTGTCCAATGTAATCAGGAAGGAATGGCTGTTTTAATTTGATTTCCTGGCAGAGGCCAGCTCGTTAAGGATCGTCTTTCGTTTTTTATTGCACATAAAAAAATAACATCCAGGTGGGATTTGTGTGTACTACTGCCATTCTATTGTGGCCCGCCCTCAGGCAGGTGGGATTCAGATTTGTGAGCTGTGCAGGCATTGAAGTAAGTTCCATCTGGCTCATAACCCAGCCTCGGAGAAAGCCGAAAGACATTGCAACAATCAGGCAAATTTGTTTCCCATCTGACTCGGGTTGCAGAACTCAATCTCCCAGAAATCGGAAAGACATTGTAATCTCGCAAGGATTTGGGCAATCAAGATAGTCTGGATAGGAATACAAAGAGATTGGGAACACACTGTGGAGGGGGATGCTTTTAAAAAAAAGGAAAGGCCAAAGGGAAAGCCGGGCAGCTCTGTGGGGCCCTGGCTTTGCCCAAGTCTGTAGGTGCTTCCTCCTTTCCCACGCCATTAACCTATGAAATGGAAATCCTTTCTCTCTCCACCAAGAAACAGTCGGTGCTTGTCAAGACATTATCCTGTGGTACAGCCTAAAAAGAGAGAAGTGCATTAGCATGTTTCCCACTACATGTAAAATTCTTATGGCATTTCAGGCGACTCTGTTAATTCACATATGTTTGGGGCGGGGGTGTGAACGGACATTCATAGAAACATCTTTTTTTTTTTTTTTTACACCTGCATATGTTCACAATATTTTCTAAAATATTGTCTAGGAAGTTGATCTTGTAGTTAGAACCAGAACTTGACCATTTGTTTACTGCTAAAGGAAAATGGACCAGATAAATAAGTGAGCGGCAAGGCTCTTAAAGCCACAGTACTGTTTTTGCATTGCCATTGTCATTCAGCAGAGTGATTCAGACCTAGATTCCCAAAGGCCTCTACTGAAAGGTCACAGATGGCTGGGTAACATAATAAAGCAGGGCCCAACTGCACTCTAAACATGCCATTCCTTGTATTCATTATTACTTTGCTATCACTTACGCAGATTTAGATAAAAGGGAGGAGGAGAGTATTCTAGTATTTTTAATGTTTGATGCTCAGCTTCTTGTTATAATACATTGCCGAGATTAGATCTTTGAAGTTACCCAGGAAGACCAGAGCTGAAGCAGGTAGCTTGTCCAAGCTGAGAGCCTAGAGTCTAGCTGGACTGTAAGAATAGATGGGTTTCCTTCCTCTAGTTAGCAAGATGAGAGGGGAGTGCATGAAATAGTTAAATAATAGTGCGGGGCATGCATTGTGTAGGCCGGCAGAGTAAACCAGGAAAACAGATCAAAGAAGAGGGGCTGACTGTGAGGGCAAGGTTGCTGGGAGAGGGGGGATAGGTGTGACCTGGTGGGACTTTTGAAGTAGATTTGACTTGATAAATGGGTAAGCTATGGGTTTCTTCTTTTCTTTATTTAGCAAATATTTACTTATTAAGCAGTGAGATATAAGGATGAATAGATGAATAAACACTTCCTCCCTGTAGAGAGGTTTGTTAGAAGGCCATGTGGAAGGGAGAATGCAGCCTTAAAAAAGGCCTAGAGATATGGTTTCCCTATTCTCTTTTCTACTCCAGTCCATGGCCAACTTTTCCATCTTTTTTTTTTTTTTTAACTAAAAACAATTTGCACTCCTCAACCCCATAATTTCTTTATGATTAAGGTATAAATTCCTTAAAACTCTCTTCAGAATCTAGCCCCAGCCTTCTTTCTCCAACAGAAGCTGCACTACTTTCTTGAACACACTGTGCCCTGCACATGTCTCTGCCTTTGCTCACGCTGGTCCTGCCAGGAATTCTCTTTCCAGTCTCCTAAAACCCAATCACACAGGAAGAATTTATTCCCTGAACTCCTCAGGTGAATCGTTTGGCCCTCTGGCTTCAGACGCCTGTCCGCATGACTTTCCTCAAGCACCTGCTGCTTTGGATTATAGTTAATTGTATGCACAGCCACCCTCTAGGGGCAGAATATTGAGAAATATGTTGGGATCAAGAAACCAAAAAAACTAATTCAAACAGAATGTATTCATTTTTAATTAAATGTCCCTTGGAAGGCTGGGGGTTGAGTTTGGTTCAGGAATTACCGTGTTTCCCTGAAAATAAGACATTCTCCAAAAATAAGACCTAGCGCAACTTTGGGAGAAAAAAATTAATATAAGACCCTGTCTTATTTTCAGGGAAACGGGGTAGCTCTAAGCAGTGAAGCATCTGCATCAATACAGTTTGAGCTAAAGAACTGAAGACAAGTTGGAGCTATTGAAATAGAACAGTTTTTTGTTTTTTCTTGGGAGAGAATAGTGACCTTTTCATTATTTCTACTACTGGAAGCACAATAGAGCGAGCAATCTACAACAGTGGTAAACAAACGATTGAACATCCACATTGAATTCATGAAATTTGGTTGAGCCTCCCAATCAGTATTTCTAATTATAGTGTGATTTAAAAAGGTTTAATCCACCATGTCATAAATGTGTGCAAGAATAATGAGATGTTACATAAAATGCTTTGTGAACTTGAAAGCCTCTTATGTATAAGTTATTATTGAAGGGTATTAAAACCATAGTTTCAAGGAAACCACTTTTCTTTCTCTGTCTCTATTGTAAGAATATAGTATTTTCGTCAGTTGTAACTAGATTAAATCGGCATTCTGATTCCGGTTAGGAGTTGAATTCTTCATTCTATGTCTCTATAGGGAAATACATCTTCGGGGCTATAGGGGAGGAGTATCTTTTAATATGGATGATTTGCAGTCAGAGAATTGAAAATTGACTACTTTATAATTATAGAAATTTCTGGGGAAAGAAAGATACGAACAGTGAAATTATGTACAGTTCAGATTCTAACTTTGTACATATTTATTTTTAACTGTAATTTTCCTTTTGCAGAAACCCTGGGCGGTGTGGATACCGTTGTCAAGATCCCTCCACACTTGCTGAGGTAAGGAGGCTGGAATTGTACAACGTAACCGTTGCCCACCCTGCTTTCCTGAAAGCCCAGGTAACCTCGTTGGTTTGTAGGATGATACTTGCTGACTGCTGGCTTTTTCACATGCACCGACTGGGATATTTCATGAGGTTGGCATGATAGGAATTGATAGCACTGATTTTTCACCTGTCTGTGGAGTAAGGTAAATCTCAAGCCAAAGGAACAAGCTATGGAAGTCAGGGATGGGAGGATGATGGTCGAGGGCAGAAATGACTATAACCTAAGTGAGGATATGGACAATGGACAGTATCTTCTGTGGATGAGGAAATAGAGCCCCTTTGTGTGTGTGTGTGTGTGTGTGTGTGTGTGTGTGTGGAATGGATTCAAGCTGTCACTGGCTCCTTGGCTGGTCACCATCTCACAAACAGCAGCCACAGGCAGCAGCCCTGAAACCATGAACAAGCTCTTCCTACCTTTCTTGCTGCCCTCATTTTTGTAATTTCTTCTCATCATCAGAAATACATGTCCTTTGTGGAAAATTTGGAAGAACAAATAACAAAGTAGTTCATATTTACACAGGCCGAGGAGAACCACTGAAAACAATTTAATACATTTCTTAATAGGCTTTTCCCCCCTCACACAGATATCTTTACAAATTCATGTAAAATTTTATTTACTAATTAGTTCCCTACTTTTTTTTTTTTTGCTAGCATCATGTGAAGAACTTTTTCTAATGTCAGTATATGTTCTTTAAATTAAAATATTACATATTCTTCCATTATATGGCTGTTGTAATATAATTATAGTTGCTTTCTTCATATTGGACACTTGGATTGTTTCCAGATTTTTTTTTTGAGATTATTAAAAATATTGAATTGTTGAGTGTAATTTCTGTATTTTCAGGACACTATGATTTATTAGGTATTTTCTCTCTTTTCAAGGAAATTGAACAAAATTTATGTTTCTGTCTTTTTAAAAAAATTATTATGTCTCGTGTTGGTTGATCTGCTCCTGGCTGATCTATTATAAGGGAATTTATGTGTTAATCAAACTGAGTGTGCATAATGCTAAATGGGCAGGCATCTGGCAGCATTCGTGCTTGGAGGAGGGGAGTGCCTGCTGGGTGTTTGTGCTCATGGGAGAATGACTCTCCAAGACACAAAGCCTGGGTAGTTTAGGGAGATGACTTCTGGTCCCCAACTTCTAGAGGTACCCTTTCTTAAAACTGATCTTCTTCCCAATTGATTTTGCCACATCTTTCCATCTCACCTCTTACAGTCACCCTTCTCCTACTTGACGAAGGAGAGACACAGCTGTTACCCATCCCATCCTGAATCTGAGGTGTGCTGTCCTGGGGGACAAGCTCTCTTCCCACCAACAAAGGACTATGAATCTATTAGTGTCTGTGTTGGTAAAGGGGGTGGGTATAATGACCAGGGCACACATCTTTTTGCGGGGTAATTTTTACTTCTTAGCCTTCAGCAAAATTGAAGGAGGACTTAATCCAGTCGCAAGATAATAGGTAAAAATTTTTTTTGATAAGTCTCCATTCAGTTTTCATTTATGTAAATAAGATTTTTTTTTTTTACTGCTTATGTCTAAAAAAGTGTGTGGGAGAAAGGTATGGAATTAATGGTAAATCCAACCTATTAGAGCAATAAGGAATATTTATCCATAGGTGTATAAACTAATAAGAGAAGAACAATACACTAGCAATATCCATTTCTTTTTCTTAAATTTTTATTTATTGATTTTAGAAAGAAAGAGAGGAGATAGATCTATATTTATATCTATATCTATACATATCTATAACTATATCTATAGAAAAAAATGCATTTCTAATAAAATACTTTCTTTGTTGACTACATTAACATTTCTATTAAGTAATTATTAATGTTTTTGGATCATCTGTGAGTATTAGGAATGATAGCTGAAACCAGAAGAAAATTGAACACTTTTGGCTTAATGGAAATTTTTAAAAAATCACTCTATACATATCTTTTTGTTATAGAGAAATATGATGGGAAGATAAATGAAAGTCCCTTAAGCATTAAAACATAATCTTGAGAGAACAGTCTGTGGGGAAGAGGAATGGAAATACAAGTTCAAGGAGAAAAGAGAACAATGCAGCTTTTTTGTTGTTAAAGGAGAGTTTGTTTATGTATTTTTTGATGGGTAAAGGTGGTTTTCAAATGGGTGTGGTATTTAGATTTCATTACATTAAATAAGTGCTATGGTTTAATTAAAACTTTTAATAATTTTAACATGCTAGAATTATAACCTTTGCAATTTAATTAAAATTATAGCCGAAACTGGTTTGGCTCAGTGGTAGAGCATCAGTCTGCGGACTGAAAGGTCCCAGGTTCGATTCAGGTCATGTACATTGGTTGCGGGCACATTTCCGGTAGGGGGTGTGCAAGAGGCACCTGGTTGATGTTTCTCTCTCATGGACATTTCTAGCTCTCTATCCCTCTCTCCTCCTCTCTGTAAAAAATCAATTAAAAAAATATATAAATTATAATTAACATTTTAAATAGTAATTTAAAATGTGTGAAAACCAAAATGTTAACCTTTTCTTAAAGACTACAAGAGCAAAAATGTTTCATGACACTGCTCTGTAGCTTGTTTCCCAGTCCAAAGAGTTGTTGAACCTACAGCGAGTCTTCTGGTCCATTGGGTGGGACCGTTCATCAGGAGACAACTGGCATTTCCCAACTCTTGGTGTATGTTTGTGACCAGATGAGTTGGATAAAAAACAGTGTTCATGGGCCTGCAGACGTATGTTTTGTCTCCTATTTAGACATTTAGCTTTATTTTAGTCCATAGTCTTACAATATACTCCAAAGCCTGCTAGCTGTCTTATACAATCCACAGGAGGGAGGCAGAAGATGGTTGGAAGGATACAGATGAGAGACTGTGGATAAATACATACAGGTGTCCTTCCATATCTTCACCATTAGTAGAGATTTAATTCGAAGTTTTTATTCTATGATAAGGAGCTGGTGATGCCAGCCTTGTATACAAAGGCATGTGTATTATTGTATTCCAGGTGTGCAGTGTGTCTGCCAAGCATTCAAATAAGAGAATGGGACCATATGAACGAGATAGCAGATGTGAGCCTGCACTCAGAGACTTTGTGTTGTGAGGGAGGAGAATGAAATATATATATAATAGCTGGAAAACACTGATAGAAGGTTGCAGGTGTAGAATTTTATCCATTTAAGGGGGTTTCATTTTGACTGATTTGCAATAGTTGGGAGTCTTTTAAGTTCTCATTTAGTTATTGAATCAATAACTTTATTATTTTACTTTATTATCAGGAAAGTGATACAAGCACATATACTGTAATTGTTTAATGCTGTAAATGGCTCAGTGTGGTGTTGGTGTATCTCAGTGGGGAAGGCCTTTTCTCCTTCTGTTGTGAATCAGTCTTATGATTCATCTTCCTGGCACTTTTAAGCCCAGAGAGAGCTTACTCTGTCCAGTCATTATATGTTGTTGTTTTTTTTTAAATTAAATTTATTGGGCATGCTATGATGTTTAACATGCCATCTTCTTATTTTTTGAGCACCTGCTCAAAAAATCTAGTCACTGTAAATATTTGTCTGCTCATGAGAAAGTATTTGGATATATCAATTATTAAATTTTTTTTTCCTTCAGTTGTACTTAGTATATGAGGAAAAAAAACAGATTCATAGACAATTTCTTGTGTTCTTCTGATTGTATATTCAGGTTGTTTCTATTTCTGTTGCATAATCATCTAGAAGTGATTATTTACAGATTTTGTTGTTACAGGTTTTGGAAAGGGCTAACTATACTAATAAAAGGGTAATATGCTATTTTGACCTGATAGACCGGATGTCTTCTGGATGTTCTTCCAGATGTCCTTCTAGTCAAAGCTGCAGTGGCTGCAAGGGCTGAGAGCAGCAGCAGCAGGTTGATGGGGGCAGCACCTTCCCCTCGTTGGTCCGGTTGCCTCCCACAGAGGGAGGCCAGACTGCAGCTTAGGACATCCCCTGAGGGCTCCTGGACTGTGATAGGGGGCAAGCGGGGCTGAGGGACCCCCCCCCCCCCAGTGCACGAATTTTCATGTACCGGGCCTCTAATAGAAAATAATTCAGATTACAAATACTTGGGCTGTGCAGTTTTTCTTATTGTTTTCTTTTGCCATTGATTGATAACTTCTCATGTTAAATTAACATTCTGATAAATAATTCCTGAGGCTGTTTTGATCAGTTGTGTCCTAGGAGAATGTGAAATAGCCTTTGGCAGTGGGGGTGTTAAGATCCATGTTAGAATCAAGGCGTTCTGAAGGTCTAGTTTCTTTTTTTCTTCTCCCTACTGCGGTGGATCACAGAGTATTTCTCTCACCCTATAACACAGTACAAGTGGCAATGCTATACTGTTTCCTAACTTACAAGCAGCTGCTTCTGTGTGCTTTGGGTCAGCCTGTAAGCCAGCCCTAATGGTTTTCATGTTCTTTTCCCTTTGATAAGGAAGACCTACAATTAGTTCTCAGTTATAAAGCTTCTCCTTGTTAGCAGCCCCTGACCTAAAAGCACTTTAAAATGATGCAGTCAATAAAGATGTACATAACCCACCCATGCTAGGATGTAGGGGGATAGTGGGCTTGAGGGTTGTTTGTGATGTGAGCAAGATATTAATGTTCAAGAACCAGCCACTCATCCTTCCTTTATGACAGATAGTTGGTGTCTTTATTTTATAGCACTCCGATGGCTATAAATGGACATGTTAGTTAGAAGGAAACATAACTTCATTTTGAAAAAGTATAGCAATCCAATCATGAGTTTCCTTTCTTAGGCCTTTTCCTTCTTCTTGAATGGAATGAAGGTAGGAGTTCTGATGTGCTGGTTATTTTGTGCATAGTTTTCATAATTAGACTGTGCCTTGAAGGCAATATAGGCTGGGTTTTCTGCTTTCATTTCAAACTATGCCTCTGAGATTTTGTTTGTATTGATGAGTTATAAAAATGGATTCCAGGAGATGGATAG